AAATTTCTCTTTCTCAATTTAACGGCGAATTGTGTGGAAAACTTAAAACTATTCATAGCAAAGGACGAGATATAAATGTTCATAAAAATCAACTAGTATCTCTATAAGCTCAAAGAAAAACAGTTTCTTTTTATTATAATTCCAATGTTAAGAAGAGAAAAGTCGTGAAGTGCAAACATGTGCGCAACAATGCTGTAAACAAATCGATTAATTAAAACGAACAACAATTAAGTAAGTGGCTGTTAAGAATTCAATGAACTCGCAAGCGGCTCAAGTGATTGCATGATCAATTAGATGAATATTGTTTATGCATTCTCATATGTATGAAAATATTTATTTGGATATGCATACAAAAATTACTGCACTTGTTGATAGCTGTATATTGTATTTGTAGTACATATGTATGTTTGTTGATACGAATAAATACGTTATACATATTTGCTCTTGCGTCAGTGTCGCTTTCAATTATCTTCAATTGCTAGCAATATCTGCAAAATGTTATTCTTTATGCCGTGGCATGTTACACAAAATATTTATCAGTGAGCGCACTCATATCCATACAAATGGGTTTAGCATCCATGCACTTATATGTATATGGCCTGACTTTTTTTATAAATACATATGCATGTACAAATGTCTATTTTCTTATGAATATTAAAATAAAATATGAATACGAAATTTAAACAAGTAATTTTTAAGCAAAAAACAAAACCGACTTTATTTCTCATTAATTAACTTCTTCATGATCCAATGATCGCATCTAAACCAAATTAGTATGGGACCACTTCTTTTATATTATAGAAATCGATTAACCTGGTCCAAAGTTATGAGGTAACATACATACAAAAAAAAAATATTCCAACGAATTGATAACCTCCTCCTTTTTTTTTTGAAGTCGGCTTGAAATAATAATTTACGGCACAGAAATAAAAGTTTGCTTAGTCTGTGTCGGCCAAAAGTGTAGGTGTAAATTTTTGCATACGCAGATAGAAGTGCAGACATGAACTTAAGGGCAAAGTCTAAGCGTGCTATTTTGAGCACTCAGAAATAGCAACGACAATCTTGCAATCGCCAAGTGTAGGCGGACTTTCAAAAGCTGCCACAAAAAAAAAAAGAAGAGAATTTTGTTATTTTTAAATTGAGCGAAAACGTTTTAAGAGCGCCTGACTGAGAGTAGTTGGCTGTGCATCATTCCGACTAATCTTAACCGAGCGCTTTTTAGTTGTGATGCTCGCAGTTAATGCAAAATCATTAGGCTGGAAAGTTTGCATATGATGAATACACTGTGAGCTATTTTTGGCACCGCGCTACTTTTTTTTGTTGTTGAAACGCGAGGCTGCGCTCTATATAACGTTGACCTTTTCACTTAAAAATACATACCACCACTTGTAAGCCATATGCAAACCATATGCAGACGATATGCAGATAATACCCCAGCAGGAAAGTGATGTTGGCGATTTCTTGTTCCTAACTCGCGTACTGGCAATCTGCGTGTTGAGATTTGAAAAACGTCGTAAGAAAACAAGGCGGGGTATATTTATGCCCAAAAGACAATCTTAAAGTCTAGACCCCTTAAGAAGGAATGATCTGATGTGACGGACTCGATTCGTTAGACAGTTAGAGGGAACGATAGCCTGAAGCTAGGGTACATTCGAATCATCTCGATCGTCCAACATACATACATATTCTAATATGATCTAACTTCTATGTTTGAGCAGCAGAGTAAACCTGGATGAGAGCTCTCACATAAAATATAAAGAAAGACCCGTCTAAAAACTTCGGTTGGGGAAATTATTATACCATTTCTTAAAAGTAAGCTTATAAAGGAAAATTAATCTGCTCAAACCTCAGACCACGCTTATGGCGTTGCTAGTCGACAGAAAATTAAACTATTGTTAGTTTTGTTGAATTTTCTGGAAGACCCTTCGATTATATCAACACTAGTCCCCGATTTTCAAGCAAAATAATTTTTTGACTGAAAGTGTCAGCCGATGATTAATTTGAGGCCTCTGCTTGATCTAACCGATCGCCGATCTTTAAACACCCATAGATTAGGTATGTATATAGTATACCTCACAAACGATACTGCATAAGTCGCATTGAAGAAAAGACTGCTAACTAAGCTACCGACATATATTTATGTACATAGTTCATAGTGTTTATATGTATATTAAAATTTCTCTAATGATCCCTATGACAATGAGCTCTACATTGCTCACATTTATCCATAGATCTACAAGTGAATTTTCCTGCAGGGTTTAAAAGCTATTCTTTCATTTGGCGAACAATCCACATTTACTTACTTATATACACACTATATATATCATGTATGTATGTATCTATGCACCTACACTATATTGCTTTTAGTGTCTTAATTGAAAAGCTGGTGCAACTTTTCACTTGTATCATAGATCTTATTAAATAAATATACAAACTTACATACATACATATGTATGTAAGTACACAAATGTGAATATGCATATGAATACAACTAAAGCAATTTAAATATTATTGGCACAATTAATAACTATTCTTGTTGATTTGCTTTGTTAGGCTATTTCATGAAGATATCCATAGTACGCGAGAGGCACGCGAGAAGTCAAGGTAATAAAACGAAAACTTTTGATTGAGTGCCAGCACGTTTCTAAAGGGTTGTGAAGGCGAGCAACAAGCTACATATGGGCATTTCCCAAAAAAGGTGAACCGAAAATGCAAGTAAATTTATTCAAACGGCTTTATAACTTTAAATTTCGTAATCAGATGGCGAAAAAAGGTGTTGAAAACGCGAAACGGTGGAGAGAATAACTGAAAAAATTAAATAAAAAATTAAACTTAGTATATGTTACTAGTAAAAATATTGTATGGGACAAAAATCTGTCACGTCCGATATGTCACGTCCGTTACTAGATTTTAATTCAAAATTGAATCAACAACGAATTGCTTCTGATTTAAAATGAATTGGTGGTAACGGTCCATAATTTGACTTTATTTAAAGAATGTTTAATAAAGGAAAACCTTACAGAATTTGCTGGGTTTTGCTTAATTTTACATGTACTCTGAAATAACTTCTGTTTTTGTCGCGTCCGTTATGCCCTCCTTTTCATCGATTTTCTCGACGTGTCGAGTGTTGCAAGCGCATATAATTTTTTTGTCAACCAAAAGACGGTATAAAAGCTACATAACGGCAATTTTTTTTACAAGTGACTTAAGTTTTCGTATGATTTATTTAACTCTAAAGTAGTAGGAATGTCGCGTCCGTAACCGAGGATTTGCCCATATGTATGTAAGAAGGAAATCAGACTTGTGCCTGAAATTGTAAGTTTTTCACGCATGCTACAATTTTATTATAGCATGCAATATTTTTGCATTTACATAGCGTCGCCTGGGTAAAAGATTGTCGTAAGCGTCATACGTACGTGTATAACATACGACAATCTGTTACCCAGGCGACGATCGGTGCGTCAAGATAGTATTGTGTGCTTCCAGAAATACATGCACCTATGTATGTTTATACATAAGTACACATGTATATCTGGTTGTAAATTTGTTTTTACTGTTTTTCTTAATTTTTTTCTCGAAATTTAAAATCTTATCTTATCAGCTACAATACTTCAAATCCTGCGTCAAGTCTCTCGCTTAAAGTTCGCACACTTATCAGACAATTCTCTAACAATTTAAACAAACGCCAAATCAAACAAAGGCACTAATTGTGGCTACAAAGTAGATGTTTTTTATTGCGTTGGGTTAATCAGTTTTTACTTTTACGTAAATATTGTTTTTCGTTTGTTCTAATTTGTGTTGCCTTAGAAAGATTAAGCTTTATTATTTATTATGTAATAAAGCTACCCTAATTTACTTACAACAACTAATGTACGAGGACGTAAATAAAGAATTTCGAAAGTACACTACTCAAGAAAGCGTAAATATCTATTTTGTAATCAAATAGAGAGTACCAAGTTTTATGAACTGTTTTTCGATAAACTTTGAGATTTTTAAAGGAAGTACTTTTTTAGCGTATTTTTGGTCCTTTAACTAGACTCTATTCATTGGTTTATTTTAGAGCGAATTTCCTTAAGACAAATCGGTTCAAGCTTTATGCTATCTTCAGTTACCTCCTGTTCCGTTTATTGGTATTGGTAAGATTTTTACATATTATATGCAACGTCAAACAGGTTTTACTTTCTTCAAAAAAGGTATGAAGCTCACGTTAGAGAATGATTTAGCGAAAAGGATTCCTTTTCCATAAAAAATTCACAAAATTTCTAGCCAATTATTTTATATTCTCTGAAATAGCCCATCTTCACAACGAAAGCTTCTAAATGCAATAAAAAAGCTTTAGAAGTTTCTAAACTTTGTCTGCAATAGGTTTGTTTCCTTTTTATAACCTCATAATGAAAGCTTTGCGCGGCAATGTAAAAGCTTTGAACATTCTAAAAGAGCTTTTACATTCTGCGCGTTCATAAAATATTTATAGGAAACTTAGTAGAAAAGCATAACTGTTCCATATGATGAGAAAATATGTAAAATCTTTCGCTGGCCAAGACAGCACAAGAACAAGCATTTTCAGGTAACATCGGCTTCTCTCTAAAGTCCATCATTTCGCGTTGAAATCTTGCCAATTAAGTACGAAAGCTCAAAAATTTCATTACATTAAATTTGGTTTGCTACATACATACATACATAGAAACATAAAAACTCTGTACTTAGCACGGAAACAAACTTGCAACAAAAAATCACTGATTTTTTTTTGAAAATTAACTAATAAAAAAATATTTTAAAAATAATTTGGCCACGTCCAACTTATTTAATTCATTAAAAACCCTATCGGTAGAGTGGGCTGAAAGCTTATTGCTATAATGTGAAAGTTTATGTATGAGCTTTTCAAAAAAAAAAAAAACACATTTTTGTTAGATTTCAGAATGCGATAATGAAATGATTTTGTTTTTAGATTAGATGTTAAAAAGTATGGTTTATTTATTAATACATTTTTTTGCACTCACCGCCGCAATGTTATTTTCATAATTCTTTATATCTCGCCACACATATTTGTCCACTGTGATGTTGAGCACCTCGACTGGGTCAAAATGCGATTGTTTGATGTAGCCTTCCTCTTCGCTGTAGGTGAGAAATTTGTCTGGATGATTGAGGCCAGATTGTGTGGGCTGTGCAGTGGCCGCAGTGTTCAGATGCCGGGCGCCTGATGCGACGGCAGCCACGGATGATTGCACAGGTGGCGCAAAAAGCACAGAGCGCACCAAGTGGCGAAGCATTTTTCACTTGAAGCGAAAGTGAAGTGTAAGGAAGGGGGAAAATCTTTGTAAAAAATGTGTTTTTTTTTTTGGTTGCTTATTTTGTTACTTCGGGATCACGTCACTATTTTTGCATGCAAAAAACTTTTATTTGCCAGCGAGGATCTTTTGATTACACTTTTCTGTCCCTCTGTTAGATTTTTTTGTTTTTAAATATCACTAATTTTATTTTTATTTACTCGTTATATGCACAATCACGTCTGCAGTCTTTGGGTGTCGCGGCGCAACTAAATATGTAACTGGCTGTTCGATCGCTGGTCGCTTGGCTATATTCAACTCTTGTCGTCGCTGCCTGTGTAGGCCTTTTGTAGCGAGCGAGCGGCTACGTTATTTTGTTATTTTGCTTTTGCTATTGTTGCACTTGCGCCAGTGACTCTGCACACTTGCCTGCAAGATTTTTTATACAGGTATGTATGTATGTATTTATATAAATACGTTCATAAGTAGGTAGATAGCAGTTGTTGTTGTTGTTGGCATTGTTTGTTTTCGTATGAATTATTTTGTGTTTTCGAGTTCGTTAATACATTCAGCGACAGATTTTTTGTTTACATTTTTTAATCTTATTTTCATAAACCGGTTCGTTGCCTTTAATTTTTTATCAAATTCATTAACAAAATTGTTTTCGTAAAATTTTGTATATTTTTTAATAACAGCTGCCTCGTACAAAGTTCAAGTAGATCCTCTTTGGTTGTTATTTTTGTTCTGGCTTTGGGTGATTGCATCTGTATGTCTGTTGCTGTTGCATGCGCAGTGGCAAAAAACCATTGACGTTTATGAAACAAAAAATATTTTGTTATGATTCTCTTTTATATGTATGTGCCTTATAACATCTGTAAAAAACTTAAAAATTTAATTGTAAAAAGTTTCACAATTATCTTGTTAGTATTTCTTTTACTTGATATTCATAAAAAGGTTTTTAATATGATTTGTTTTTTAAATGATTTTCATTTCCTGTTGGTTAGTCTGCGATATTTTTGGCGCGAGTTTACATTTTAGTTTCAAAGGAACTGGAAAAACTTGCGAGCACCGTGCCCCAAGCGCTAGTCCCCTATCCGAAAAAGAAAATAAAAACTTTTTTCGTCATAGTACTTAGCTGACTTCAGGGGAAAGTGAAGTCATTTTGCGTTATCATATTGGCTTAGAATTCTTCTCTGGACACCGCAATCGACTACCGGAGGATTTGAGTGTAATCTTTGAGGCTCAAACTAGGCTAAGACGAGCAGAGAGCGACCGCTGTGCAAGGTTGCATTCATCTCCATCATCGTAAAATTAACCGCAATTCAAACAATTTATGAAGTATGTATAGTGCAAGGTTTGGTGTTCGGAGTGTTTTTTTTACAACGGTTATACAACATTTTTCCAGTCTAACTGACGTCTGGCCACATTTGTGACCTCTTCGATAGCTCCTGTTTTTCCCTATCTATTGTAGATGCTGCCTTATGAGTGATTGCGTCATTGACGTCATTTGACTTTGCTGATTACAACTGTCTATCAAGAAAATGGCATACGTACAAGGCATGTTATTAATGCCGCTGTGCATTCCTATATACATATGTATGTACACTAGGCCGGATGTGTGTTCATATGAGTAAAAAACACTACATGTGATGAGCTGTAGCTCGATATATTTATCGAAAAGTTTGGTATTTTTAGCTTAAACTTACGTATAACGATTTCATTTACCAACTTTATTTGTTCCTTTTTCAGTTCAGCGAGATAGAGGCATCTTTGGGCATTAGTGGGACCAGCATACATTCAATATTAAATGAAAATTTGGTCTTGAAGAAGATCTTTTCTCGTTGGATACCGCTTAATTTCACAACTGCCCAAAAAAGGACTCGTGCCGAAAATTTGGAAATTGGGTTAAGCGAATGCAGAGGTATATTGACTTCCAACGATAATATATTGAAAAACAACGACCCATTTTCATAATTATTTTACTTTGTTTTCAATATAAGAAAAATTATGAAAACCAACGGATTTGGCTTTTTTCGAGACCCAGCCTAATGTGAATGTAAAGCTTTTCACTACAACACACGATCTTTTTATTTTTTATTCATTTATTCAATATTACAGAGCAATTCTGGCAACTGTCTTTCGTAAGACAAATGCCATATCTGGTAACTATCTTGAAAGCTCTTTACTGTTTTTCGAAATAACTAACTGAAATATTTCTAAACAACTAATTGAAATATCTGCTATGCTGTTCGCCCTTCCGAAATACGTTTTTTTTAAACTAAATTATGTGCATAAATTAAAGAAATATATATTTTTTATTTACAAAAAACAGTAAAACCTAATAAAAGAAAGAAAATTATGTTAAAAATGAAAAAAAAAATGAAATAAAATAAAAAAAATATTTTTCAAAAATAAATGAAATGAAAAAAATCGTTTGAAAACAATAAAATCTAAATTAAATGCGAAAAAGAAAAAATTTAAATCATAAAAGCAAAAAATAGTACTTCAAAAGAAAAAAAAAATACTTTTATTTTAAAAATATAAAAACTAAAAAAAGACAAAAAAAATATGATCCTGAAAACGAAATGAAAGAAAACAAACATATTTTTCTTTTCAAAAACAAAATAAACAAATTAAAAGAAAATGAAAAGAAAAACAAATTAAATTAAAAAAATGAAGAAATGAATATAATAAGTTTCTAAAAGTTGAACGTAATTAAAAAATTAAAACAAAATTCTAAAAATTAAAAAAAAATACCTAAACTAAGAGTGGTACATCCCTACTTTGCTCAATCGGCCATTGCGACTGTTGGAATGTCTCTTTCAAAATAGCTTTTCATCACGAGTAGTGAATGAGTGAGAGAGCTTTTATTATAAGACTTTTGTCTTTCGAACTATCTATCATTCATTAGTCTTATAAAAGACTTTTTACTACCTTAGCCAGAAGTGCCCCGTTAGTCTAAGAACATCAGATTTTAACAGACTATTGCATACATCTTATACCAAATATATAAGCTCTACCCGAGTACTCCGTGAACTTACAGGTTTTTACACGAAATTGCAGGAAGGTACAGGAAAAATAATCCCGTACTCCAAAATCCTGTAAATGGGAGTGATTTTTGGAGTGTTGTGTAGAGAATGAAGTTGCAAGATTTTAGCTGAACTTTTTCTTCTGGTAAAATCATGAAAAGTGTCAAGCGATCACTGGTCGACGTTTTTACAGGAAAAATGCTTTTTTTGTTCCCGTACATTTTGTTGTTACTCACTTTTTACTCTCACTTCAGAGAGTAATTTGGCTGTTTGACATTTTTACAAGATTTTACACGAAAAGTATTAGACCAGAGCTATAAATCAGAGAGCAAAGTTTTAGTTCAGTCACAAACCAAACGTAGTCCATGAGCAAAGCTTTTCAAAGCTTTCAAAGGATAATATACCGGCGCGCACATGACATAATTTCTTTTTGGTCGGCACTGGTTTAGATCGGTGATGGGCAGTGGCTTGCCTGCCTGCAGACAAAATCCGTAGAAAGCTTCAAAAAGCTTCTCCCGTGCGATACACTTTGGATGTGGCTGGTATAGACATCCCACAAGGTGAAGGCTCTCCGTCTTTATTTTGCTTACGACAAAAAGGTTAAGTTCTCTCCGCAGCTGACTGCTTTACGCCGATTTACAAAAGCTATTCTGTCAACTGTGAAAGCTCAATTTCCAATAAAAAAAAACTAGACTTTACGCCTTAAGTTCTTATCTTCAAGCCTTGAAGAAATTAATAAAATGCATTTCTAAAGCCGCTTATCGAATTGAAAAAATACATGTACATACATACATGCACGTGCATGTACTCGCACTTTATTTATTAATGCAACAAAAAAGTGCACTTTGACATTGTACAATGGCACAAATAGCAAGTAATTAGTAATCAGGCATATTGATTTATATGCATAGTTTTTAACACGTATTTTTTATATTCATTTTAATTATTATTAGACTGTACTTACACACGTGTGTAATTAAAAATATGTTTACGAGTTGACCTATGATAACTGTTATTAAATCGATGTCAGTTTAGTTTATGAATCTAACATGAACACTATTAATAGTTAGATACATATGTAAGTAGAAGCTTTAATCACTCATTTAATTGAGCGCTATTTTA